CACCACTTGAAAGTCCTCTTTGAATGCTTTGGACTTCATTGTCTTCTGCAGGTGGCGATCCGATTTGGAGGTGAAGGCGTTTCTTGTCTTGTCAAACTTGAATTCGTCGTCAACCAGTCTACGTATCGCAATCGTGAACCACCGGTCAGAAGCCTCTCCGAATTGTTTCCTGACTGCAAGGGGAGCACGTTTCAGGATAGTTCTTGCACGGGCCTCTTGTGCATGGGTGGTGGTGACCCACCACTTTTTGGGGTTGGCCTTGTCTTGGTCAATACTGAGGATGCAAGGTGCAGCACTGTCTGGGTCGTCGGTGTCATCTGTATCATAGATCGCTGTCATGGCATCGTGTAGTGTGTAATGGCAGGTGTCTGACAGGGGTCCGTCAGTTGCCACAGCTTTCTCCCACGGGATCTTGACGAATTCTCTGTAAAGATCGCCTTGGTCTTCTTTCAGGGTCTCATAGACTCTCATCGCGTCGGTGTTGTCGACCGAGATTGTGCAGAATGGTGAGCTCCGGTCAGGCACCATTCGGAACTTCTTTGCTTCGATGAAGTTGGTCTTTTTGGTTGGGCTGTAGAGGAGTTGAAGTGCGTCGTAGACCTGGCTGTATTCACTGCTGGCACAATGGATGTGTAGGGCGAAGATGTTGGGGTCGTCCGGGTCCTCCTTCCATTTTTCGTTCTCCACATCCTGTATCCTCTTGTATTGTGCCTCTATTCTCAATTGTTTTGACGATTGAATGATAGTAGAGGTGCAAACGATCAATCGAACGATTGAATGATAGTAGAGGTGCAAACGATCGATCGAACGATTGGATGATACTAGTAGTAGTATTAATAGTAGAGGTGCAAACGATCGAATGAATGATAGTAGAGGTGCAAACGATTGAACGATTGAATGATAGTAGAGGTGCAAACGTGCAAACGAGACAGAGGAGAGGTGCATCGCGATATCGCAATGGTGTGTTTTGAGTCTTGTTATCTCAAAAATGTAATCACTTCTGTTAAGTCTTTGTTTGAGTCCTTTAAATCCACCATGCTGATAGAATATTGGTAGCCCACCAAGTGATCACTTTTGTTAAATCTTGTTTGAGTCCTTTAAGTCCACTAGTGTTCCGTTTAGTCATTTGTTTAGTGCTCTGGGTAGACAGGTCCAAATGACTAAAGAACTGACTAAATTGTTTAGTCCGAGATTTAGTCATCTGCTGGTAGACACCACCATTACTAAAGGATAATGACTAAATCTTGAACTAAACAACCACCTAAAGGATTCCTTTAGTCGCTACTTTAGTCCCTCTGGTAGAGACCAGCCTAAGAGGGCGCGAACGGAAGGGTGTGCTTTTAATACCAGTGCCTATGTCTCTGATAGCTACCCCCTAAGTCCGTGATATTTTGACTTGGGCTCCTTATCCTAATTACAAAGAGGCGCGCACCATAGCGCGACTTTCTTTACAGACCAGTCAAAGAGCCCCGGTTTGACTACAGGTCAAATTTGGCACGAATCAGTTTTGACCCATGAAGGTATATTTATTTGTTGTGGTTTGATGCGACGGTGTCACGGTACGGCACCGTACATGTACAGTACCTGGTCCGGTATCTGAATAAATGATAGTGGCAGCTTCACTTTGTTTCCTCATTTCTTTCAACAAGAGGATGGCTGGCCCTCTTCGATTCATGGCGGCAAGCCGTTGGTTGCGCTTGGTCGGGGCTGCCAATAAGGGCACTAGTGCTTCACATCCATATCCGCCCTCTTCCGTATCTGGCTTGCTTCGACGTCATCAAAGCAGTGGCGGCTTCTCGAATGCATGGCAAAGCGTCGATAACGCAGATGAACTAGTAGAAGAGGCTGCGACTCCTCCAAATCCTCTTGATTATCTCTTGGGATTTGACTCGGTGCCGGCAACCAAACACTACAAGGTTGACTGCCAGGCAGGTGAACTCACCCACAATCTCGGCGGCGTCTCGACCAAAGCTTGGAAGCCCATCATCTTTGGAAGTGGCCCGTTTCAACTTGACCTGAATGCATCCAACCAATTGTCCTTCGTTGTCATCATCAAACGCAAGCAACAATTCGTTATCAGCTACCATCTGTTGAATGTCCTGTGGGCGCAAGCGTTCGGAACTTAACGTAGTGCCGGTGTCCGACGTGGCGTACTCATTGTTGACCATGGTTCTTGCTTGTTCAATCAGCTTAGAGGTGTCATCTAGTCCTGCAAACCGAATGGAGGAATCCAGCTTGGGTTTGGGGGACTTCAAGTTTTCAAAAAACTTGGTTCCAATGCTATAAGACCAGTCTCGTTGATCAGAATCATCAATGCTTGGCTTGATGCCTCGGGCAAGGTACATGTTAAGTGTCCCCGTCAAGACATTTTTAGCCACGGATTCTTCCCATTCCAAACGATGCAACCATGCCTCCATTTCCTCGGTGGTAATGGCACCATTGGCATGTGAGAGCTGCGCCATGTACGTGATTGGGACCACCCTCTCTAAACTTTCACGTCCTTCAAAAACTAGAGGAACAACCTGCATTTCAATTTTGTCACAACCGGCGGCATGCAACAAGCGCGGACTTTGAATCCCAATCGATGGATGAGCACAAAGAGTGGGCACAACACCATTCAACACTTTGGTAGTCAACTGAAACATGTCCCGGTCATTTCCTTCTGGGGGGCGCAGACTCTGTCCCCATCGTTGCTGTGGCGAGGCTATGTGATCCATCACGAAGGATCGAAAATCAGGATTGGCAATCACCAGGGCCCCTCCAGGCTTTGTCACCCGTAGCATTTCTTGCACTGCCTCTAGTGGTCGATTCAAGTGTTGCAATACACGGTCCTCCTTGACGACATCAAAGGACCGCGATGAAAAGGGCAACTCGTAAACATTGGCCACTTGGAATGTGAAATTGCTGTTGACATTGCTTTTTGGGAAGGCTGCCCTGGCTCGTTCAATCAAATCCTGTGAAATGTCAATGGCTGTGACATGACCACAAGCTCCCACAGCTTGTGCATACTGAGGAATATGAGTTGCAGTTCCACATCCTACTTCCAAAAGTTGATGGGATTCTGTTAGTTCACAGGCTTGCAACAGAGCTT